AGATGAAGATGAATATAAAAATAAGTAGACTGTTATGATCGACCTGTAATTCTCGCGGGAGATTTCAACGTAAACTTTTCGCTGGCCGAATACATGTATGATGAACTGACAAAATTTGTGAAAGAAAAATTTTCATTGGAAATGGTTATTGGTAGATATGTTCCAACAACCAAATTAGCGACTACCATTGATGCAGTTTTTCTAGAAATATTAATAATATTGAAATAAAACTTTTTATATCTTACTCTAGTTACCACAATCTACTAGTTAATATTGTAGATATGCATGTTTTCTCAGCCAAAAATAATAATTAAATTTAGCAATTGGTCATAAAAAATAAAAAATTAAAGCTCGTTAAAAAAATTAAAATAAATATGTATTTAGTGTATTAGAAAATATGTACATGTGTATGTATATCACACATTTCTTTCTTTCTGAAATTCCTCTATTAAGTTTCACTTCTTCCGCGCGTAGGGACTACACGCACTGGGTTTTTTTTTTTAGTCAACTCTTGGTACCCTACTCTTTTTCTTCTTTGTTTATATTCATCAATAACAGAGCTGCTAGACTCCCACCAGCTTAAGTATTTTCCGCTGGTCTTTCCTGCGTAGCTACTCGCTTGCATTTTGCTCAAGCTCATCACATGCTAATGCGCGTTAAAGCTGTAGAGTTACTTACTGAACTCAAAATCGCGTTGAAACATCTGTACTGACCACTCATCCAGTTCACTCTACCACTTGAACAGTAGGGCCGTGTATACGTCGCATTACATTGATTTTGGTGAAGCAATTGGAAAGTGAATTCTTTGCACTACATCGACCTTGTCGCATTATCACGGTTTTCGCTGGCAATTATGCAGCCATAAAGAACAAGGCGCTTCATATTTGTTACAACAGTGGAGGAGAAATTTCCGAAGCCAAATTTTCCTTAGTATCGGATTTCGTTACGAGTATTTGTTACCTACTCAGTACTTGGTACAAAAGTAGCGATACCAAATTAATTGGTTTTGATCGAAAAGTATCGAGTATTTATATTTACTAGTGTTCGCCCAGCGGTTGAAATTCAACCGATAAAATTAAGGATAGTTTATGTAAGTTGAATG